GGCCGTGCGAGGCCGCCCCCAGCTCCCCTGCAGAGTCTGCGCCCCCCCCTTTCCGAAAGCCCGGGCTCGCCAGGGGCCAGCCGGGGTGCAGGGGTTGGGGGCGGGAGGGACGGCGGGGCCGGGCAGGGGCCGGGGGAGCGGGCAGAAAGGAGGGATCGCGGGAGGGACGAGTGGAGAGATGCTGGCGGAGGGGTGAGTGCGGAGGGCGGACGGAGGGAAGGCGGCACAGTGGGGCTGTGTCCCAGCCAGGCCCCAGGGACGCGGGGACAGCCCATCGGGGCCGCGACGCTCGGGTATCACAGCCTGGGCTCGGGATGCGCGGAGGAACCCGGCTTGGGGGACCCGGGCACCTCTGCAGCAGCAGGGCCATGGCTCGGTGTGTGTCCGTGACCAGGGACATATAGCCCGGCCCGTGGGGAACGGCGCCGGCAGGGAGTCCCCTGCGAGGGAGGACGAAGGCAGGAGCCAGGGGTGTCCGCCTCGCCTGAAAGGTCTGGGGGATGATGGGGTGCGGGGCCCAAACAGGGAAGGGGGTTCCAGCGGATGTTTATTGCGGGGGGTCGGGAAAGGTGGTGGAGCGGCAGGGACACGGCGATGCTCGGCTTCGGGGCCGCCCCGGGACTTGGGGGTTGCCGTCGTGGGGAATGCGCGAGTCATTGCCACGTTTTGCATTCCTCAGTGCCACCACAGGCTTTTGAGCCATCGGGCTACATCTTTTCGGGACGAAACAGATGTGTGTCCACGGAGGATGAGGAAAAAGGGTGAGAGGTGTCCCAACCCTTCTTCCGCATCGAGCTCTGGCGTTTTCTCACCGCGGAGCCGTTCCGGCGGAGAGGCGGCGGGACAACCTCGACCTCTCCTCTCACCTGCTCGGGCGAAGTGTGAGCTGCGGGGAGCAGAACCTCTGGGCTCGATCCTAACAAACACACCCGTGCTCCGGACGAATGCAGAGCCAGGGGCACAGCAGTGATGGCTAACGGCGGGATTAGCAACCCCGCGTCGAGACTGGATGCGCTTTGCAGCGCGGAGAGGTCGAGGAACGGGGACGTGCGTCCTCGGGACTTCTGTCAAATGCGACCTCTGGGCCCTTTTCGGGGTGCTGGAAAGGGGTCGACTCCGCTTGCTGCACAGTGCCGTGCCACTCTCTCCCTCGGGTGGGTTCTGTCCCTGCGGGGTCCCTGTCGCAGGGCAGACAGGGTTGGTTTCCCCCTCCATTGTCTCAGCTCCGCCCAGCGCCGTTCACGCGTGTGGGAACCCCGCGTGTCTGCGAGGCCAGGCAGGAGATGTGGGAGCGGGGCGGCGGGGTCTGCTCTCGGGGATTTGGGGTTTCGAGGCTTCCGCCCCGCCATTTGGCGAGGACCCGCTCCGCTGCCGCCCAGGTGACAACGATTCCCGGCAGGTCCTCTGTTCCTGGTAGACACCGCTCAGCCCCGACTCCGCCGGCCGGGCGGACAGGCCGAGGGACCGGTCTGCGCCCGGGCTGTCCCCGGCGTGGCGTCGCTTACAGCTGGAGTTTTATGTAAGGAGCAGGAAAGGAGAAAGGAATAAACCTGGGAAACGGTGCGGGCAACTAAGGCAGGGACTGCAACCCCAAACTCTGCTGGGGCGTCGGTTTCGGATTTTTTCTTAAATTCCAGGGGAACTATTTTCTTTCCTCCTGGAGCAGAGGCTGTCCAAAGCCAAGCATACCGCGGGGAAGGGGCATCAGCGTCCCGCTCGCATCAGCCCTTGAGTTCCCGGAGGCGGCTTGGAGTTCGCACCCGCGGCTCCTCGCTTTCCTCCGATATTGCCCCGGGGTGCCCAAACGAAATCCCTTCCCCTCCTTCTTGTATTGCCGCCAGGTGAGCAGCGCGGGTCAGTACCGGGACTGTCTTCTCCGTGACGTGTCCCCGAGCCCGCGACAGAAGCTGCCCCGGCCAGGAACCGCGCTGCCAACAGCAGCAGCAGCAAAGAAACAAAACACCGATCATGTCACGCTCTGCCCTTATGCCGTTAGCTGCAGGAACATATGCTCAAATATGTAAGAGTAGTCTAGATTTTTCTCTGCAAATATTTTTACCACATCCAAAGATAATATTTCAACAGAAGAATCAAGCCCCGCAGGCTACAGACAGGGCAGCTATATATAACCCGCTTGCTCACTCCGGCTCTCCGCGCATCGCTCGGGTTATGCAACCCCCACCGCGACGGTAGCCACCGGCGCGCCCCACAGCTCCGCCCGCCCCGTCGGGGCAATTCCCCGGGACCTCGGTGCAGCTCTCCGCCCGGAGGAACCGGCACCGGGGCGCGGACCGAGACTGGTACTGGTACCCGGGCTGGGCCGGAGCCGGCGGGGCGGGCGCATCGCCTTGCCCCGCGCCGATGCGAAAGAAGGGCCCGGCGAACGCCGCGGCGCTGCCAGGGGCCGGGAGCGGGCGGTGAGTAGCGCCTCGTCCTCGCCGGGGCAGGGACGGGAACCGGGCGCGGCTCCCGGCCCAGACGGGCCGCGCAGGTGCTGCCGACGAAGCGGGCTGTCAAGCTGGGCTAAGCAGGAGCTCGCCTGCCGCCTCGTTCGTTGCTTTCCGTTTTCTCCGCTTTTTAAATTTTTTTTTAATTGGCGAAGGAAATGCTGGAATGCTGGCGGGCGCTTTGGGAGTTTGGTGGCCCAGGGCTAGGGGGGTCCCATCCGGGCGAAGCGGCCGGCAGTACCTGCACCCGCTGCTCACCCTGACGTGCCCAGACCCCGCCTGTTGCGGCGGCTCAGACCGCGGGTCCCCGCGGCCACCGAGCCCCGAGGGTCGCCCCCAGCCCCGCAGTGCATGCGAGCTGGAGGAAAAGAGCTATCCCTTCTCTCGGTGCCGGACATCCGCAGCGTGACGCCGGGCTCGGCTCGGCTCGGCTCGGCTCGGCTCGGCTCTTCCCTTCCCGTCGGCCGGCTCCCGGCGCCGTGATTGACACCGGCGGCCCCTCCGCCCGCCCCGCAGCACATCCCATCCCTCCCCGGCGGCCGCTCGCCGTGCCCGGGAGGCGGGGAAGGGCCTCCCCAGCCCTTTGACACCGTCTCGGCAGGAGTTTCACTTCGCTTTCGCCGCCGTCGCCGCCACTTCTGCAGGCAAACACCCCCGGCTTCCATGTGACGCCTCCCAGCCACTGAATGGGGAAAGCGCCTATAAGGGAGACACTTTCCCTTCGTGCCGGAGAAAAGGAGGGGACGAGGGGGGCAGAAGCAGGAGGTGGCGGTTGAGGGGAAGGGAAGACAGAAAACGAATTAATAAATCGCAGGGAACGAATTGGGGAAGGCGGGGGATGGTGAGAAATGGACACCCCGGGAAAGAAATTCGTGGCATTATTTATTTGTTGCCCCCCGGTCCCGTCTCGCTGACAGAGCTCGGTCCGCCGTTGCGGTGCTCGGCGCTAGCTACAAAGGGTCCCGGGGAAGTTTCTTGCTCCCCAACGCCCTTCCCGGGGGGACGAGGGTTTAGGTTGTTTTCTGTTGCATTTATTTTTTTTTTTAAGTTTCCCTTCCCCACCCCTCCCCCCCCGTCTGGAAGGAGGGGGTCTCGTTCGCACCTCCCTGGATGGTGCGGTAGAAAGGAGGGGAGTTAGGGGGTGGGAGGGGGGGGGCTCGTGGTGGGAGGCTGCCGCGCCTGCTGCTCCTGCATTGGTGTCTCCCCTATGGACGAAAACAGCCCTCTGTCTCCCAAGGCAAATGCTTTCAGTATCGCCTCTCTGATTTCAGTCGCCGCCGCCGAGCAAGCAGGGAAAGGAGAGCTGGAGGAGCGCCGCGGCGGCCGCAGCGCGCCCGCCCGCCCCGGCTGCCGCCCTCAGAAGATGCACTTCAGCACCGTCACCAGGGACATGGAAGGTGAGTGCCGCGCTCGGCCCCGCAGGGCTGCGGGGACGGGACCGCCGGGCACCGCGTACCCGAGGGCTTTCACTCGGCCCATGCCGGCGGCCGGGCCCGGGGCAGCGCACGGAACGCGGCCTGCCCGCGGAGCCGGTCGGGGGAGGCTTTGCCGTTTCTCCCGGCACGCCTGGGGCCCTGTAGCCCTCCCTTAGAGAAAGGCATTGCCCGTGGCCCGGTAGCAGCTTTCGACGGCTCTGCCGCTGGGACTCGCGTTTTCTCGGAGGTGCTGAAAGCATCCCCCGACAGCGCCGGCCGTGCCTGAGGCACCGGCAGGCCGGGGCTCGGCTCCCACCGGCTCTGCAGCCCTGTCCGGCCTGGGGGGCTGCGTCAGAAATAACGCAAGAGACCCCCGGGACCTCGAGGAGCTTTTCAGCATCGAAGGGGATCCGAAGGAGCGGCCGCTCCGCCGGGCGGCCTGTCATGTGCCGCAGGGCCCTCTCGGGCGGGCGGCCGAGGGCTGCACAACCGGGTTCGTCCCGGTGCTCCTCGGCGCGGACCCGGAGCTTTGCTCTGGTGCCGGCCTCTTCCTCTTTCTCGTCCGGGGATTGAAGGAATGGGGCATTGCCAAACCAGATCCGAGTTCCTCTGTCAGCCGCAGCCCCGCGGCTCCAGAGAGAAGGACGTTACCTGCAGCAGCGTAGCTACACGGAAATAAGAGCCGATTTCTTTCTCTAGATTTCCCCACTCCTCTATTTTTTTTCTCTCCTTTTTTTTGGAGAGGGGGCGAAAGGAGGCAGTTTGCTTTGTCCCGAGTGGTGTGTGGCGAGGGAGGCCTGCAGAGATAGCACGGGCTTTGCACCGCCGAGGCTCTTGGCAGACCTCTCGGGTTTGCAAAAGAAAAAAAAAAAAAAAAGAAGAAAAAAAAGGAAAAAAAAAAAAGAAGCCTAGGCAGGCAGGCAGCGGGAGCAGCGAGCTCCCCGCCTGCCCCGGGGGGAGCGGGGCTGGGGCCAAGCAAAGCGGAAAGGGGGAGGCGCCCCGCTGGGCTGGGCGCGGGGCAGGAGAGGAGGCGGAGGGCACCCCGCGGAGCCGGTGCGGAGGCGGGGGCCGCGCGGAGCGGCGCGGAGCTGGGGGGAAAGCGGGAGCCGGAGCGGAGCCCTGACCGCTTGTTTTTGGAATGATTTCAGCTATCTCCAGCCCCTGGCTCACCCAGCTGTCCCATTTTTGCGATGTTGCAGCTTTCACGGCCAACAGCCTGAGCAGCCTGAACGCCTCCGGGGGGTACCACCTCTCCCCCTCCCCGGGGGACCCGTACGGACAGCATGAGCCGCCGCACTACGAGCCCTGCACGGCTCAGCAGCACCCGCACCCGCCGCCTCAGCCCCAGCACGGCTACCCTTTCGGCGGGGCGGCGGCGGCGGCGGCCGGGACCAACCCGCCGGCCCCAGGCCCCGAGCAGCCCGAGGGCGCCGGTGGAGCCGCTGCCGGGCCGGCCGCAGTCTCGGGCTGCTCTGCGGGGGCGGCCGCCGCGGCCAAGGCGCCGGTGAAGAAGAACCCGAAGGTGGCCAACGTAAGCGTCCAACTAGAGATGAAGGCGTTGTGGGACGAGTTCAACCAGCTGGGCACCGAGATGATCGTCACCAAGGCAGGCAGGTCAGTGCGGAGCTCCCGAGCGGCCCCGGCTCTCCAGCCTCTCCCTCCGGACCCGGGCACCCAGGCCAGTCGGGGCGGGAGAATCCGGTGCGAGTGGTTGAATTCGCAGTTTGGGGGGAAATTGAAGCTGCTGCATAAGGGCGAGTCGCGGAGCGGCCCGGCCCGGCCCGGCGGTCGCCGTCATTTGATCTTTGCGCTTCTCCTGGGGCGAAATCTGCGAGCTCTTGCGGCCCGAAGGCCTCGGTGCTGCGGAAGAACGCGCGGCTGCTGCTGCGAGCGGACGGCGAAGGCGTGCGGAGGACGGCAGGCAGGGCACTGGGTTTCACTCCCGCTTAAAAGGGCGCTGTGCTCCTCCGGGCGCCTTCGGCTGTGACCCCACACGGGACTTTGATCCGCGTTCCCGGAGGACGGTGTGTGTTCTCGGGGCGGACAGCAACGATACGGGGGAAGGAAAAAAACAACACGCAAACCGTGCAAAACCTGCTAAATACATTCTTAGCACGGGCAGATGTTTTCCTTCCGGCGGAGACGCGAACAGACCCTAATTCTGCACCTTGAAACGCGTTCCAGGGCTGTTGCATTTCCCGATTATCGAGTAACGAGCCCGGCTGAACGCGGCTCCTCTCGGCTCTGCTCCGGCCGCCGCGGCGCGGTTCCGGGGCCGGGACCCCGCTCCTGGGCAGGGAACAAAGAAAGCGGCTGATGCGATCGCGTTAGGAACGAGCAAAACATATGGGGGGAAGAGGAGTCCCAATTACAGTTGTTAGTTACTGCATTTAATGGAGATCCCCGGGAAGCGCCGCAGCCGCGGCGGTTCGGGCAGAGCTACGAGGCTTTCCCTGCCAGGCTCCGGCAGAGCCGTGAATTGTCCAGGTTCTGAGTCTTCCCTTGGTTTAAAGCGATTCGGCGGGGGGGAGACAAGAAAAACAAACAAATTAAGGAATCCCCCGTTGCTTGCTCTGAGTTCGCCCCGGGGCTGACTGCGGCGGGATGGCCGGCCGGGCGGAGAGGGTCGGACTCCGCTCCGAAGGGTCTGGCAAGAGCTGTGACCGCGGCCGTGCACTCCCGCTCTCCCGTCAGCGATTTTGAGGGTCCCGAGAGTGCCAAAGAAAAAAAAAAAAAACAAGTAGAAAGAAACATACTTTCATGTACGCAGTGGCCTTTTAAGTTCGGGTGGAATTTTTTTTTTTTTAATATTAGCAATTTCCTAAAATGAAACAATCACCGTGGTGCCTGGTGCAAAAGCAGCCGGGGCTGCGTTGCGGGACCGGGCGGAATTTCCCGCAGACGGTGCTTGCCCCGGCGCCGGGTCGCACAGCCCCGCTGTCTCCGGCCCCGGCCCCTGAGCCCGGCGCCGGGCTCGGCGTTGCTTTCCTTAGCGGAAAAGGTCGTTCAGGCTCCAGGCGGAGGCTCTCTGCAAACAGGAGTTCTTCGATCTGTCTTTCTTAGCTCTCCAAGAGCGAAAAGATTGCAAATATCCCATTTCTAAATGTTTCAGAAATTAACCAATTCGAATTGAATTGAGGGGGTTTCTCTCTCCCTTTTCTTCATTTACTTTATGACACAGTCGAAACTCCAGAGAAGCGAGTAAAAACAGGAGAAAACGAGGTACAACCAGCAGGAAAAGGCTCGGGGAAGGCGCTGCAAAGCCTATTCTCTTCCAGCACCTCTGGGCTGGCCCTGCTGCTTGTCTAGATGGGTCTTATCATCTCAGGTTGTTTGTTTTAAAACTAAGTTTTAGAACAAGAAACACCGGAATTGGAGCTAATGGGGGCTTTTACATGTTTAAAAATAATAATAACAGAGGGAGCGACTGAAAACGTCCTCCAGAGTTAGCTGAAGCCTTACGGAGAGGGAGACGTAGCTGCCCGATGCCGATGCAGCCCGGCAGCGCTGGGCCCGCTGTGGAAGAGCTGCGGAGCCAGAGGCGCGCTGACCCATCGCCCCTCAGAGGGGGGAAGGGGCACAGAACAACGGGTCCGGCCGTGTGCCCCGAGAACGAGCCGGGGGGGCTCTCTGTGTCCGGGTTTGATCGGGCTGTTTGTTCAGGGGTTCGTTGGGGCTTTGGTTTTTCAATGGCTGCAAACACTCTTCCCGAAATATTGCCTACAGTCGCTCGTTTGGTTTACTATTCTATAAAACAAAACGAAGCCATAACGAGCCCCGACGCCAGGGCACTTCTTCGGCGTGTCCCGCCGGGGAGCTGCGGGCGAGGCCCTGGTCCCCGTGTGTGCAGATGCAGGAGGGAGGGACGGGTGGACCGTCCCGGCCCCTTCCCTTAGCCCACCGCCGGTCGCTTTTGTACTGCACCCCCCTGAAGGAATCGTGCCCTCCCGGAGCGTGGGATCCTCGTTTCGCCTTAGCTGTGGGTCCCCGGGGGCCTGCGTGGGGAAAAACCGGGGGAGCAGCCGCGGGGCCTGGCCTGCCCAGCTCCGGAGCCCTGGGCTCCTTTCCGCTCCCCCTTTCGTTCCACAAAGGTGCGGGGAGCGGGAGCTCGACCGGGCTCTTGCAACGAAGTAGATCCGGGACGGGGCTTTCTGGGACATCCCCGTTGCCCTCCAGCCCTTGCCCGCCGAGAGGGAGCGTTTGCCTCTCCGGCCTGGGAGAGGTCTCCCGCTGGCCCTCGGGGCTGTTGCTGTAACCACTGCTTTCAAACGGGCGCAGTTTGGTGGGTACAGAAGCTGCACAGGTGGGAACTCGATCACCTCGTGTTGTTTGCCGGAGTTTTTAGATTTGACCCCCACGGGCTGCCTGAGACTCCCGAGCTTGAGTGCAGGTCCGCAGACAGGGTAATGCCTCCAGTCAGGTCAGCTAAAATGATGGGGATACCACGGGAAAGAAATTATTTTCACTTAATCTCCCCATAGCAAAGGCCGAGGATGCTCCTGTTTCCCCTGTCCTCTCCGTTCCACCTCTGTGGGGTATTTCGGGTGTCTGACATGAACAGTCCCGGAGCCAGGGGGAGAGGCAGGACCCTCTGGCTCGCCTTTCAGGATGCTGCCGAGGGCTGGGGAACACGGCAGCTTGGGTGTATCTGCCTCTTCCTCCAGCCAGCGGTTTCTGTGAGGGGACTTATCATCACAGCTGGGAGGGTATTGGAGCAGCTGGAGGGGAAGAGACCCGTGCCGGCCCCTCGGGGCTCCCTGCTGCTCCTCAACGTAGCACTTCTCTCTCCTCTCTGTGCCAGGCGCATGTTCCCCACCTTCCAGGTGAAGATATTTGGGATGGACCCTATGGCTGACTACATGCTCCTCATGGATTTCGTCCCGGTGGATGACAAGCGCTACCGGCAAGTAACAAATCCCTGGCCTGTCTCGTGGTTCTTGGAGCCATAGGGGCTGGTGGGTGCTACCCACCCTCTGCTCCTGTCCTCTGGGGGTTCAGGGATGTGCCCCTGAGCATGACACCTGTCGGTGTGAGACAGGGAGGGGACAGGGGATGCGACTGACCTGGGGTCTCTTTCACACCCTTGCAACGAGTCTGGGGCCAGGAGCGGCTGCACGGGACCGCAGGGCCCCCTCAGCCTCCACACCAGGCTCACAAGTGGCCGGGGCCAGACCAGCATGGGCAGAAGGGCAGGTTTCCACAGGGCACATGGCAGGAACTGCCTTGTCCTGCCCAGAAAAGCTCTCCTTGTCATACTGCTGCACGTCTCCACCCTTTGCCACTTAACAAAAATCCCCTCGGTGCTCCTTGAATGCTGTATCCCCTCAGCACATGTCCCGAAGCCGCGCCGTGCCTGCTGGGGAGCTCTCTGGGTGCTTGGGTGAAGAGAGTGGGTTTTGTGTTCTGGAAAGGCACCAGCCAGCCAAGCCACAAAACCCTGCCCTTGTTTCCAGCAGCAGTGTAGGAAGGCCTTGGAAACTGTCGGCTTACAAGGCAGTTATGCGGTCTGGTTTAGGACCCCTTTAATTTTAAGACAGTGAAAAGCGCATTATGTATTTAGCTTCAGATCAAGACGCCGAGCAGGCAGCCCGCATAGGAATCGCAGGGTCCAATATATAAATATTTAGACAGATATCCAAATTCTCAGGGCGTCCTAGAAATGTTTGCTTGTCAAGGGAAGTAGGATATATAACATCCAATTGAGTATATCTTTAAAAAGTAATGTTTCTGCTCAAGTCCAATGGTGTCTAATTCCCCCTGTGCAAACACTGGCTTTTAAAGTAAACACGTGTATAGAAGAAGATTGGTTTCTCTGTTTTAAATGTTACTGTTGAATATGTATTTTGAAAGAATGAAACGAGACTGCTAAATTCTGAACCTGCTATTAATCTACACACAACTTTCCACTCTTCACTTAAAGCGAGAATATTACTGTATAGAGGGCTTTTTTCCACCTTTTTTTTTAGAGGAACGGGGAGGCTTTTGTGGCTTCTCTCCCAAATCTACACGGGTAGCTATAAATTTCCTCCATCCTGCAGATTTCTCGCACGACAGTTCCATCGCTGATGTGATAAAATAGTATATCCCCTCCGCAGCAATTCTGGCTGCGGAAAAGAGCTCGTTCCTCTCGTGGGAAGCGGGAGTGATGGAGGGGCGGCGCTTCCCCCTCGGTGGGCCGGGGGGATCGGGCCGGGCCGGGTTCTGCGGGGCGCGGGTGCTGCAGGGACGCGGCGGGAGCCCCCCGGGCCGCGGCTGAGGGTGCCTTCCCCTCCCGCAGGTACGCCTTCCACAGCTCCTCCTGGCTGGTGGCTGGCAAAGCCGACCCCGCTACCCCCGGGAGAGTCCATTACCACCCGGACTCCCCGGCCAAAGGGGCGCAGTGGATGAAGCAGATCGTTTCCTTCGATAAGCTCAAGCTGACCAACAATTTGCTGGATGACAACGGGCATGTAAGTGTTCCCGGGTAAAAATGTCCAACACGGGGCTGCACGGGGTGGGAACTCCCCGCGCTGCGATTCCCGTGGGGTGACCCTGCCCGCGCCCTCCCCGGGGGCTCTGCCCCAGCCCCGCGGCTGTCCCGGGCAGTGGAGCCGGCAGGGCCGGGGCTGCGCTCTCCTCTCTCCATGCTCCGTCTGGATCAGTTATTGTCTCCTTGCTCGTTTTATCATTCAGATCATTTTGAACTCCATGCACAGATACCAGCCGCGTTTTCACGTGGTCTACGTGGACCCCCGGAAAGACAGCGAGAAGTACGCAGAGGAGAACTTCAAAACTTTCGTCTTCGAGGAGACGCGCTTCACGGCAGTGACCGCCTACCAGAACCACCGGGTGAGGCAGCAGCGGAGCTCGGGGCAGCAGAAAGCGAGGTTGGGGTCGCCCCGGAGGTACCACGGGTGCGGGTGCATCCGGTGCTGGCTCAGCCCCTGCGTCCGGCTCCGGGGCTGGAGGCCGGGCTGCGGGTGCCCGGCGGCGGCGGGGATGGCTGGGGGTATTCCCGCCTTCTCCCCATCTGCTAAACCCATTCCGGGCAGCGCTAGGAACCCGATAGCCGGGGAGCTGCGCGGAACGGCTTCGGTGTACGCCGAGGAAGCGACGTGGGCTCTAGTCCCATCTCCAGCTTCCCCCCGCCCAGGGGACCTCATTACCTATGTAAAGCCGAGACCGGGGCTAGTGGGGAAACTACAGGCTTCCCGCTGCGAAATGTCACTCACAATTTGTTTGGATAAATTTGCGATTTTACTGCTTTAAGTTCGTAGCGGTCTGTCTCTCCTCAGAATACAATTATACGTTAAAAACGAAACAAAACGAAAACCAACTCCCCCACCCCAATCTAATGCAGATCTCTGGGCAGCAGTTAATCCAATTGCTCCTTCAAATCGCATCAGTGTAATGTAAAGAGCAGGAATCCCAGCAGCGAGTGGAAATACGATTTCATAGCGAGGGCTTTTAGCGCTGCTCCGAACGGCCCCGCTCCGCGGCGATGCCGCGCAGGCCGGGGCTGTGTCCGGGGGCTGTGTCCCAGGGCTGTCCCTGAGCACCGGCGCAAGTGTCACCCTCTGCAGTGGCTCCGAGCAAATTGACCTGAGCTCTCTCCGGGATGCTGCGGTCGGGCCGCGCCTCGCCCCGGTGGAGGCGGCGAGGCCACAGAAAGGCTGTGCCTTTAAGGGGCTCTGGAGTCCCTCCCCGGCTGGCATTTGCCTGATGGCTCCGGACAGCTGCTCTTTCTCTCCTGCTTTCTATCAGTTTGACCTCTAAGGCTGGAACTGTCACTGAGGGGCTTAAAGTTTGTTTTTCAACCCATTCCGGAAACTCACAATCACATACTTTATCCGTGGATTTGCTTAAATATAGAAAATGTCCTGCCTTCTCCCTGGCGAATTAAATAAATACATAAGTATGATTTATCCAGTGATTTGTCTTAACTGCTCCAGTGGTGACCCATATAATGTGGCATTTTCTTACAAGTGCATTTAGTCAGATTTTGCAGCCGACTCACACTGCCTCTCTCTTCACCTTGAACTCATATTAGGCAGCATGTTAGCCCGCATTTTCTAGTGGAGGGAAAGCACATGTTTGTGCTCTGTGGCAGAAAACACCCTGGCTCCACCAGCCACCTGGATCCTCTCTGTTACACCAAGCACTGCTGAGTCCCAAAGCCTGCCCAGGGACACACTCACTGTTTGGCCAGGGAGCCCTGCGTGCTGCTTTGAGACATTTTCCAACTTCTTCTTACAGATCACGCAGTTGAAGATTGCAAGCAACCCTTTTGCCAAGGGATTCAGAGACTGTGACCCTGAGGACTGGTAAGGCTATGCTTTTATTGGTTTTGGCAATACCCCACTCACCCTATTTCACATGTATCTGCCCAGCTTGCATTTGCACAAGGGTTTCCTGGAGGGGGACACCGTATTGGGCCCCATTTGCCAGCTGCAACTCAAAGAGACAGTACTCAAATTGTTCATTCTGTTGGACCGTCAGCTCTGTATCACTTCTCCCCTTCCTCTTCCAGGCCCAGGAACCACAGGCCAGGGCCTCTTCCTCTCATGAGCGCTTTTGCCAGATCCCGGAATCCAGTCTCTTCCCCAGCCCACCAGAACGGGACAGAGAAAGGTGAGAGCCCTCAGTGGCCAGGCCAGCCCATCTCCCAGGCCCTGCTGGCCTGCACAGCCCGTGCATGCATGCTTGGGGCCAGCCTTGCTCACCGAGCTGGTGCTCAGCCCCATTGCTAATAAGCTTTGTGGTATCGTTTATTTTTAAAAGAAAAATACCCGCCTTTATAGCCTAACTTATTCTTCCTTGGACGACAACATTGGCTGTTGTGTGCTTAAGAAAATTTGCTGCTTTAAAAAACACTGCCCCTTGCCTTTAGTGTCCCATTTTCGACTTTTTAGCAACAAACTCAGCTTTTCAGGCAGAGATGCAGTGCTGGCCACAGGTTCCTGCTCTCATTGCCCTTTTAATGCGCCTCGGCAGTGCGTGTAGGGCCAACCCACTCCATTCAGGAGCTGCAGTCAGGTCGAACAGCACCTCTGCCCATTGACTGCTTTTCCATTACCCAGAGCAAACAACTGCAAAGACAACCGAAGGCCTTTTCTTCCAACGCACACCGGGCCTGCAAAATAAAGGGAAGTCTGTATTTGTTTAGTGTTACACAATTGCAAAAATGTCAGGCGTGTACCAGCTTGTCAGTCAACTCAACTCCATTTATCGCAGTCAGAAGGTCCCGTCCCGCCAGCCCCGTTCCTGCCGCATGCCGCTGCCGCACGCCCCGCTCTTCCCTTCGCGGCCTCTTCCCGCTGTGTGCGGATGCGCTCCCGCGGGCGCGGCCGCTCTGACTCTGTTGCCCCCGCAGATGCAGCCGAGAGCCGGCGGGAGTTCGAGCGGGAGGCCGGCGGGACGGCGCTGCACCAGGCCGAGGCCGCGCACCAGCAGCTCATGTCCCGCGTGCTCAGCCCGGCGCTGCCGGGCGGAGGCGGCGGGCTGGTGCCGCTGGCCGGGGCGGGCGGCGGCCGGCCCAGCCCGCCGCACCACGAACTGCGCCTGGAGCCCGCCGCGTCCGAGCCGCTGCACCACCATCCCTACAAGTACCCGCCGGCGGCGGCCGCCGCCTACGACCACTACCTGGGGGCGAAGAGCCGGCCCGCGCCCTACCCCCTCCCCAGCATCCGCGGGCACGGCTACCACCACCATCATCACCACCACATGAACGCGGCGGCTGCGGCGGCGGCGGCCGCCAACATGTACTCGCCGGCCGGGGCACCCGCCGGCTACGACTACGGGCCCCGGTAACGGGGCACCGGCGGCACGAGAGACACCACCCTCCCCCTTCCCGCCTTTCCCCCACCGCCGCCTTACGAGTGAGCTGATTGGCCAGCGTGACCTGATCGACAGCCAGACAGCCCAATCACCGGCAGCCGGGCCCCGCCCCGCGCCCCGCCCTGTGGGGGCTGTGAGGGCGGCGGTGCCGGGAGCTCCATCGCGGTGTGACCCGCGGCTGCACTTTGATAAATGAAGCCATATGTCCTTATCTCTCTGTTCTCCCGCGCCTCCGTTCGTGCCGGGCACCGAGGACCGTCGGGCGGCTGGGATGCGGTGGGAGAACGGTGAGGCGGCAGCGGTGAAGTGACTTATCCTCTCTCACTCGCCCGCCGGGCCTTCTGCTGGAGGTTTGGTGTTGGCGGTGCCCCCGGGCCTGTACGTGAGCACCGGGCGGGGGCTGTGGGCCGGCCCTGGGCCGTGTGTCGTCCTGCACTTGTCGGTGTCGGTCTGTCCCAACCCGGGGCACACCGGGGGCTGGTTCACAGGTGGCTCAGGTGGTTCTTTGAGGAGATTCCTGGGGAAGCAGAGTTTAGTTTAAGGGAGTGCTTTGAATCCTCGCTGCCAGAACAAATTGCCCACTTCTCCTCTGGCCCTGACCCATTTGTAAGTTTTGGGGTTCACTGGGATGCCTTAAGCAAAGCAGCATTTTCTGGAGCTGTTGAGAAGGGCCTATGGCCAAGAGCACAGACACGTGCAGCTGTGTTTGTATCTTGTTTTCCCAACAATACCTGCAAAGGTTTAAAAACCAGCCTGGGGTGGGGGGATATCTGCAGATTTCAGGCTGTGTGTTCCCCACCTGCTTCCCAGGCAGCCTCACACAATTATGCCTTCCTGCATCCTTTCCTGAGCTCTTGTATACTCTCTCATGGAGGTGCCTTTTAAAGGGACTTCAGGGTTTTTTTCTGACTAATTTGCCCCTTATATTTGGCTGACCCAAACTGCAGTAGTTCTAAAGCATCTATTCTGCATTACTTGCTTGCTGCATCTTCCCTCTTAATGCTGGTAAGTACTTTTTCTTTTTCCTTTAGTATCTTCATTCAGTAGTTGTTCCTTACTGCTAAAAGGATGGCTCTGCTCATCAGAGTTCTCCAGTGATGTGTTTTGAATGGTTGGTTTGTGTTTTTGTCAGTGATGTGTTTTGAATAGTTGGTTTGTGTTTTTGTCAGATGCTCACCGAAGGCAGTCCCTTTGTGTTCAGAGAAGGTATTGAGCAGCTCCTCAGCTGTGTTGGTATACAGTATTATGAACACTTTCCTGATTCTTCCACATGACTCCATTAAAAGATGGGGGCTGTTTCTTTTAAAGTCATCTATTCATCCATGTTTGTTCATTTTCATTATAAACTCTTTAAAACATGTTCTTTCCCTTGTGCAGGTGGCAGTGTTAATAGCAATGTTTATTTTGTCTCTGGCAGTGAGCTTAGGGCTTCCAAAACCTTTTTGGAAAGGTTTAAGAAGGGATACAGGCTACCATGAATATTTTATGTATTTTTTTTCTGTTAAAAAATATATCTGGATCCATAAAAAAAACTTGTGCAAGAAATATGTATTTTATTTGACATTTGCAGTGAATTGTGAGATTCTTAATGTCTGACTAAAGCATAATGTTCTCAGAAAGGTTGATGTAAAATAGCCTTGTGCCTATTATTAGTCAGTGGGAAATGGCTCTCGGATGTGCTCTGTTGCTGTTGCTTTGCCGCTGTTATTTCAGAGGTTTCAGTATGATTTGTTATCTGTAAACTGATTAGTGCCAAAGCTTTGGTCAAATGTTTAATGAAGTTGTTATATTTATTATTTCCTTCAAAGATTATACAAACCCTTTTTTTTCTTGATAGTTGCAGTGTAGGAAAAAAAAGTGAAGACAACCAAAGAATCATATCTGCAAAGTGTAGATACATGTAGATATTTGTAGATATATGTAGATAATCTTATTTCATTTCAATTGAAAAGACATTGGACAGTGACATTTATAAATATTTTTCCTCTTCTTTCTTTCCTTCATTTCTTGTTTGATTATTTGTGTATATTTGTCAGCATGTCTGCCCTGAGGTCTAAGCCTCCCCTACAAAATGCAGTTATTTAAATAAGGAGAGTTCTTAGTCTGAGCAAACAGTGGCTCTCCATAGGTGATTGTTCCTTCCCTTCTGTCCCTGCTTGCTGCAGGTGCCCGTGGTTGTGCTAATCTATCACAATACAGCAGTGTCCAAGGTTGGGGTTCCCAGGTGAAAACAGATCTGTTTGGATTGGTAAGCACCTGTTCTCTTTAAGCACACACAGAGTGACCCAAGGTGCCAGGACTAAATGTGCCTTTAATGAAAATGGCTCAAGGCTCCTTGCCTTGACTGTAGGAATTTCAATTTTATATTTGTTAGAAGAAGAGAAAATCACAGCTTCAAGCTATGGCTGTGGGTAGAGGGCCCTCAGGATCACCATCTGTGTTCTGTGCTAAAGAACCACTGCAGAGGTCCTGAGGCTGAATGGGAAGGAGACCATGCAGCTGTGTCAAGCCCACAGTCTGAGCTATGAAAATGGTATTTCTAACCATGCATTTAGTCCATCAGCATGCAAGGTGCTTACACATGTTCACATTGAAGCACATTAGCAGTCCTGTTCATGTTGTGTTTCAATCCTTAAATCAGAATTCTTCAGGGCTTTGACTGGTGTCCCTCCTTCCATAACAATGTCTCACTGGATGGGAGTGTTATAGATATGGGAAACAAAAAGGGTCATTTTTCTATCCAGAAAAAATCCACTTCAAATAAATAAAACCCCATAATGCTGCAGATTGACCAGTTTTGAAAATCACAGAAAATTTGTAACACTTTAATGTCATATGACCTGTCAGCCTGTTAGTCAGGACATATCATGTATAGGCCATGCATTGTAGATTGATTTGGGGAATGAGTTTGTATGATGTGATTTCGTGTCTGGTTAAACTTCACTGAGCCCACGCTGTCACCAAGGGCCATGGCACACACTAGGACAGAAGGCAGCCACATTTCCAGGCAAAACTTCCACTTGTGGGTACCTCAGGTCACACAAAGCACTTACACATGAAGGGTCTGTAAAAGCTGCTGTGAAACAGGCCCAAGTGTGGAGGTTACAAGCATCCTTTGTATTTTCCAAATAGGGCTAGAGAACAAATTAGCCATCTAGCTCATTTTCAGGAGGTACAGGCTGAGTTCAGTGATTGCTTCTGAGGTCTGCAAACCACATCACCCAGCTCAGTGGATAAATCCAGGATTAGTTCCTTGTTCCACGCAGGTGGAACAAGGGTGGCCTTTGCTTAATCACTTAACCCAAACACTGGGGATAGCTCCAGCTTTCAGAAATGGTTTTTTGCAGTTGATTTTATTCTGTCCTTGCTTGTGAAATTGATTAAATTCAATGTAGGATAGGAGCATCAGGATGAGACTCCTGTGTGTTTGCAGTATTCATGCACACTCTTTACACATTTCATAGATGTTCTCTTCAGTCTTTCCTTCTCTTCAGGGAGACCCTATAACTCTCAGGCAAGAATTGTGCAGGCAGTCCCCAGCAGCTGCCTCTCAGTATGCTGGGCTGTTGGCATCTCTTCAGTCAATATCAGGCACATGTACCCATGGCCCTGGCCAGGGGAGCAGCTGCTTTGGCTTCCTGCTGCAGTGTGTGTAACAGTGGCTGGCAGGGTGGAGAATGACCCGAGGACTGTAGCAGGTATAGAAAGCTGTTCTGTGTGCAGCAGACTGCTGGGGACAGTGTGGGTCTCCCATGAGCTGTGGGCTTCCAGTGCATCTCCACACAGAGCCATGGCCAGTGGGGCTACATGGGTCAGGGGCACCTCAGCTGGGGCACTGTCCTTTCCTGCCAGCACTCCTCCTCTCCAGCAAGTGGATTTCAGCCTGTGATGCTGGATCCCTCACCAAAGAGCAGTTGTACCTCGATCTGTGTGGAATAAGAAAAGCAGGTTGTGTAATGTTCTGCCTGCGTAAAGGGATCCCTGTGGCTGCTAGAAACAAGTCAGGCACCCACAGGTTTGGGCTGGGGGCAGAAGCTGAGCCCTGCTGCCTGGAGAGGGCTGGAAGAGCACCCCCAGCAGTACCTGCAAAGCAGCTTTCAGCATCATTGCCCAAAGAGCTCAGAAAGCTGCCGAGAGCCTGTGGAACACGGCTGGAAGGTGGGAGAAGAGCATTTCTGTGCACATACATGTGTTGGTTCTTTGTGCTTTGCCTTCGGTTTCCTGATTGAAACAAAATTCTGCAGCGCGTTGAGGCCGCGGGTGCTTTGGCCTGACCCGCGGTTTGTGTGGAACTGCCGGTGTGGGCAGGGACACCCCCGGTGTGTCCCGAGGGTCACCTCGGACGGTCCCCGCAGGTACCGCTGCCCGGTGCCCGCGGCGGAGGAGGAGGAAGAGAAGGAAGATGCTGCGCGCAGCCCGGCCCGCCCTGCCTGAAGAGCCGGCTCCCTCCAGAGGGAAGAGCCGGGCATGGCACGCGGTGGATTCGGCACGCACGGAAAACCAGAGGGGCTTCATCCTCCGGAGCTGGGAAATACACGATGAGAGGAAAATGCAGATTAGGGGGTTAAAGGAAAGATTTCACCTTTGAAACACTCTGGCATAAATAAGAAGGGGCGGTCTCCTGTGAGTTGCGATTTGAGGATACTCAGCCAGCAATGGTTCAGCCGTTGCTTTAAGCTGGTGTTATTAGGAACCCACTCTGCGTGTGTAGGGGATGTACATGTGTATGGATGCAACGTCTTTCTGAACATAAGCCTTTTATTCTTCGTTTAATTATTCCAATTCAATTGATTACTAAGATATATAATTTACACAGGTGTTTAACAAAACTAGGTGAAAGTGACTATACCCAAAGATTTCTGTTATTGCCATTATCATGAGCTCAGCATGTGCCTATCAAATGTTACAGTGGGACAACCATTGTCGGTGGGAATCTAGATAGTGTATCAAAGGCTGGAAATCTCAAAGAATAG